AAATTGTAGGAGCTATCTATTAAAGTTTACAAACACCCTTTGCATGTAGGCGTACTGCACTGTAGACACATATGTTGCAGCACAAGACTGTAAGCAGTTTGGATGGACTTTGACAGAAGTTTCTGGTTTACATAGACTCTGCTTCATTTTTTCCCCTTAGATTACCTGGCTTATTTAGTGCCCTTGACCTAAGAACTGTACTCATCCTTAAACGCAATTCTCTGGGTAAATACATTTTCAAATAGCGGCGCTGCATTTTAGGAACAACGAGAAATCTTGCTAATAGTTGCTAATAGTTTCAGGAAGAGATGTCCTATATTTTTTTATGTGTGTGCAAATTGTGTAAAATAGCTGCATTCATTCTTAGTCTGACTTCGACCAAAGCGGTTGTATTTTGCTACATTCCGACAAATTTATATGTATTTGATTTTAAATGTGTTGTAAAAAATCAATATGAAAAAAAAAAATATATTTAAAATCCTTTATAAAAGGTACCTATATAATAAAATGCCCAAACGGGCTATCACAAAGATATTGCAAAACGTTTTCGGATTATTAAATCCATCATCAGTGCAAACTTGAAAGTAAATAACCACTTTAATTAAAAGAACGTTGAATTCAAAATGGTTACTAAGGTTAAAGAACATTGTGGTTAATACTTACGAGGTATACATGCTATGAGCCACCAAATATATGGGTCCAAACCCTTTAAATGATATAAATTTACATTTGATTTACATTATATGTGGTTACAAATTATGATGTTTAAGTTACCGTTGGAATTGGTAACATGGCGACGTATGACCCTACATAGGTAAAATGGTCCTGAGACGAAGTGTCTTCGAGGACCTGTTGATAACAACTGATCAAAATGGCATTGTTGACATGTTAGAACGGATGTTGTGTCAGAGCAGTCAGTGTAACTTACGGTAGTTGTCTAAAAATGACAGATGTCAGCATTATTTAAAATTGAAAAAATTAAAATTATAATAATGTAACAGTATCAACCATCAATGTTGTAGTCTGTAATGTGAATTAATCATATGGCTATATTGGAAACATTGAAAAATTTGGTTTTTTAAAAAATTAATGTGAGTAAACTGGAGTTTATGAAATTTTGTAGGATCAGTAGGCAACCAACTATACATGTGTATGGATTTATATGTTCTAAGCTAAAAAATTTTTATTAAAAGGCCCTGTATGTTGTGTAACATTTGGTACCTAGAAAATGGTAAAAAATGGCAAAAAAGGCACATGTAGGAAGATGGGTCCTATAAGATTTATTAATGAGGAATGTTGTAGTAAAAAGTGTGTTTAGATCTGTTGTTGAGCTGAAATTTAAATATGATAAGAATGTGATTATGGTGTGATGTTGATGTAGTACTTAACTTAAAACTTAAGCAAGGAGGGCCCTCTATGTTAAAAAACAACATTTGGCACCTGATAAAAATAAAAGATTTTTCAAGTTGTAAGTACATAAATATGAATTGCTGGTTATGTGTGAAAATTAAAGATGGTAGATTGTTTTTGTGTATGGACACGTATGCCAGAACAACAGAAAACTGATGGCTGAAAGGTGGTTTGGTATGGTATTGTTAATACCATGCTCAAATTCTAACTCAAGAAAAAACAAGAGGCTATATATGTTAAAAGGAACATTTGGTGCCTGAATGTATAATATATGCTTATATAATGTAAATCAAATGTAAATTTATATCATTTAAAGGGTTTGGACCCATATATTTTGGTGGCTCATAGCATGTATACCTCGTAAGTATTAACCACAATGTTCTTTAACCTTAAAGATTCTAACAGCGCAACCTGTGGGAATGAGACGACGGGGTAGACCAAAGCTGAGGTGGATGGATGGGGTAACACAAGATGCGGAGAAGATCGGAGTCGGCAACTGGAAAATTCAAGCAAGGGACAGAACAGAATGGCGTAGAAAGCTTGAGAAGGTCGAGGCCCTCTAAGGGCTGTAGCACCAAGATGATGATGATGATGATGATGTTCTTTAACCTTAGTCAACATTTTAAATTTAACGTTCTTTTAATTAAAGTGGTTATTTACTTTCAGGTTTGCACTGATGATGGATTGAATAATCCGAAAACGTTTTGCAATATCTTTGTGATAGCCCGTTTGGGCATTTTATTATATACCTTTTATAAAGGATTTTAAATAAATTTTTTGTGATATATAGTATACAGCCAGCTACAGGAACTTAGTTTCTTAGTGGATTATTATGATTTTAATTTTAAACATTCAAGTAAGTGATCGATATATTTGTTGTTCATCCAAAACCAACACAAAGTTAATCACAATCACGTCTAATAATTGTTTTTGACCTAATTGTTCAAAGCTGACTTCTTTCTACCTTCGACAGAATGATAGAAAGCTCCAGTGTGATGGCTGTAAGAATCCAATACACATCACTTACGCTTACACGGATTTGTCGGTTGATGATCGAGTTACGAGGCAAAAAGTACGTGGGACATGTATACTTTGCTTTGCATGTAGTTAAAACATGGGAATATTAATGAAATATAGAATCTACTAGTGTAATTTCAAGCGGACATTAAGAAGAAAATTTAAGACTTTGATATTAAGCTATCTGAACTAAGTAGTAAATTAAACCAACTTCATTGTGTTACAATAACAGAATTTGCCGACAACATTGTCAATGAAACCGCTGGCCGCATATCTCGTTCCAAAAATTGTTTAATTAGGGGCCTCCCTAAACCTATAGAAGATGCTTAAAGTGAAACAGATCATGATATAAATAAAATTAATCTAGCCGTGTAAGTCATCTATGTCAAGGAAGTCCTGTTAAATTTTATAGGGTCGATAAACCGAATTAAAATAAACGTTATCCCCGCATGATAAAAGTAGTGATAATGAGTTTTTGACACCACAATAAAAAAATTCTTCGTAAAATTATAAACTTTTGGAAAACAAATCTACTAAAACTTGATAATGTTATTGATGACACGACACCTATACAGTAACTCTGGTTAAAGGAACTTCGTACTGAGCTTGAAACTCGTAAAAATAATGCATAAAATGACCTTAAGATCAAATATGTGAATGCCTGTCCAAATATAGTGAAATTTCGTTAGTTATATCATTAAAACTTGTTTAAAGTATCCTCCAAAATTTATAGATACGTAACGTTTTAGATCTAAGTCAGATCATCCTCAGTGCCTTCTTTTGGTACTTGTAACTAACACTAAAATTGCAGTGGAGACATCAATATATGGTTTTACATATTTAAATTTAAATTATAATGCGACCCTAGGTCGATGACATTGGTTGAAGATGTAAATACTTAAACAGCAACATGGACTGTGTGGTTTTAACTAAAAAGAACCACGTGTTCAAGTCGAGCAAAGAAACATGTTGCTCTTTAAGTATTAACATCTTCAACCATTGTCATCGACCTAGGATCGCATTAGAATTTAAATTTAAATATGTAAAACCATATATTGATGTCTCTACTGCAATTTTAGTATTAGCTACAAGTACAAAAAGAAGGCACTGAGGATGATCTGTGCTAGATCAAAAACGTTATCTATCTATAAATTTTGGACGACACTTTTAACAAGTTTTAAATTAAATGTTTTTATACCAATATACAAAAGTTTTTTACTTCTGTATAAACTAATCAATTAATGCATATTGAGATTCGAAAAAATCGAATTGTTTTAAAAAATAACCTCAAGTAAATCATAGACAAACGGAGAAAATTGTTACAGGTATGCATATGCATCGAAGTGTACTACAGGAGCTTGGTGCTGCATATAGGTATAACGCCCAACAATCAATTTCAATTTAGACTTCCCAAATATTTTAACATTTTTTCTTCTATACTTTGGGCAATACTTAAAGCTCTTGAACATGTCAACAAAAATAAAATACCAAAATGCTTGATTTTAAACGATTTCCTTGATGCTGTATGTACCTTAAATCATGTGTATCCTGAAAACCAACTCGAGAAAATGGTAAAATCTGAACTTAAAAAGCCTTAAGAAGATTCCAGACGCATTACCTTTATATGAATCCGGTCTCATATTGGTATTGATGGAAACAAAGAAGCAGACCACTGCACTCGTAAAGTGTCGGAACGTGTGGAAACATATGTAATGAAATGCCGAAATCTCGCGGATTATATGATGGTATATCGTCATGAGGGTGCCAAATCCGTTATGTAAATTTTTAAATTTTTTTTTCTTTGACAGTTTGATTCCATTTTTGCCACTCTATCGATTGGTATTATCCGTTTTGTGAAATTCGACCTAGAACTTGCACTTGCTTATCCTTTATGTGTTACAGTCGTTATAGCAAGATCCGTTATGTGTTTGAAATAACACATAACGGATTTGACAGTTCTTCATACCTACGTGCACGACGCAAGAAATGTGTTCTCGTAGTGAAAAACTGTGTTAAAATAATTGAAAGCTTATCAAAACTACGTATTTTTCACATTAAAGTCAGTGTTATAATAAATATAGTGGTAAGTACTATTTATTGTTTTCCTAATAAAACTAAGTAAGCACCTACTTAAAAACGACATCGCAAGACTAACCTCAAATTTATCCTTTTTGTGTGCATTGGCAGCGGGGTACTAAACCTAAACGTTCGATGTTCTTCCTAAGGTGCTATAAAACTGCAATGAGGCTTTTTTGCGTTACCGGCACATTGTTAAACATTAAAAGCTGCTGGTATAATTCGTTCTTTCTATTAACATTTTTGTCGCAACCTATTAGGTTAGGGTAAGATCGGTAGGACGGATAGTAGCGATAAATTAATGAGGGAAGTGAAAGAAGAGTATATTAAAATGTGTAAATATTTACACACTTTAATATACTCTTCTTTCACTTCCCTGATTCATTCAAGTAGGTACAGAATTTACCAGTCTTTCAACGATAAATTAATACCCTACCACAGCCAAGAATCTACTGAATATTATATAACACCTTTTTATCACTGCTGTGTTTTTACAGGAACTATGAGTTCTGCTTCACAGCGATCCAGACTATTGCTAGACCTAGCAGTAGGTAGAAGAAGTATAGATTCCAATATCCCTTCAACGTCAAAGATATCAATTTTATCTGATGCTTCCATATCTGATGTTTCCATATCCAAATCTTATGATGCAACAAGCAAGAAACATACTTTTTACGGTACAGAAAATTGCCAATCTGGTGAATTGGATCTAACTCCTATAAAACCGTCTCCTTCCAAGTATACTTCATTTGGAGAGACAACAAATGAGGTTCATTATGGTGATCAGATTGATGTACCTACTTGTGAAGAATCGGAAGTTTTGGAGTTCACTTCAAAGCCTTCACAAAGCACTTGTTGTAATTCAAACCATATATTGGAAACCGGGTGCAATAGTCACGTATTACCACAGATACCTACAGGTGAATTCATTCTAGATGCAGAGACTGGCATTCGCAATTTCGTAGATGTTAGAGAAATTGTCGACTCGAACAATTGTTACTTGGATGAAGTCAGTGGTCTATTTTTACCGAACGAACCATCTGAGGTACCTGAAAACTTCGATATTGACGATAGTAGCGGCTCCGAGACTTTCGATACTGAAAATGTTTCTAAAACTCGAAATAAAAATAAGATACAACAGGTTCTAGGTCAAAAATACAACAGCCGTACAAGGAAATGCATTGCTGATGACAACAGTAAATCCAAGTTTTACTATGACCTGCATACAGGAAGGTCTATAAAAAACAAACAATGCTTACATTCTGCAACCGCTTAGTCTGATAGGAGCTTTCTCTGCAGTTTGATATCAGAAGACAGACGGCAATCAAGCGGAACAGGCGGAACAACCTGAAAATGGGACAAACCAAGACCTGAGAACTAGACATCAAAAGCGAACGACCAAGACAATAACGACTGTGACTAATAATGCAGAAAAGCAGCAATCTGTTAAGGAATGGTTAAATTTATTACCAAAAGTAAGCAGTTACTATTGTCAGGCATACACTAACAGGATGTACGTTGAAGATACCTTCGAGAGTAAGGCTTACATCCACCGGATCTATCTTATTTGGTGTCAAGACAACACGAAACCAAAAGCTAGCAAAAGGGTCTTCTACATGGTATTAGAATCAGAAAAGGTTTCCATCTTTAAACCTCGGAAAGACCAGTGCGATGTGTGTGTTTCCTACAAAGAACGACATACATCCGAAGAAGATTACAAACTTCACATTCTGAAAAAGAATGAAGCTATGATTGCTAAATCAGACGCTCTAAGCTTGACGGTCTTTTCCGACGTATTGGTTATTACTATGGATGTACAAAGCGTCCTACTGTGTCCCAAAATATTAGTTTTTGTTTAATACTACAAGCAGAAATTGCAACTGCACAATTTTTCTATATACTTAAACAACACACAAGATGTACACCTATACGTATGGCATGAGGCAAATGGTGAAGTGACGTCCAGTGAATTCACAAGCTGCATCGTAGATTTCTTAAAAAAACAAACGGCATATAAAAAGTTCATAATAATTTCAGACAAATGTTCCTACCAAAACAGGAACAAAGTCTTGGCGTCTGCTTTGGCAAACCTCTCGAAGACCCAAAATGTCAAAATAGAGCAAATAATACTCGAAAAAGGACACACAATGATGGAGGTCGACAGTGAACATTTTACGCTAGAGAAGAAATTCAGGCCACCAATTTATGCTCCTGTCGACTATGTAACTAAAATTACCGGGGCCAGACCAAGACAATCATTTAATGTGCATTATTTGGACTACACGTTTATCAAAGACTATGAGAAGGTTTGCAATTATGATTCTATCAAGCCGGAAAAAAAAGCTGGAGACCTTACCGTGAATGACATCAGAGCTTTGCATTACACAGATGGTAAAATATATTATAAACTACGTCAGCCAGATGACTGGCAGAAACTTCCTCAGAGTGTGCGAGTAAACAATAATAGCTTGAAATCTCTGTATACTGAAGCTCGGAAAATCAAAGGTACAAAATTCGAGAATCTCCAATCATTGAAGCAATACTTGCACTCAGACTATCATGGTTTCTACGACAGTCTAACTCACCTTTAATTCTTATACCAAACTGATAGTGTCTGCTTTGTGTGTAACTGGAGATAAGTATTTTTATCGTTAAGTGATTTTATATTATAAATATTTTGATCTCGGAATTGGTTCTGATTAAATTTTTGCTATGAAAACATTGTGTAGTTTTTTTTATAATTAATCTGAGGCAATTTTCTTGTAGATTTTAACACATAGTGGTCAAGTTTAGCGGTAAATTTAGCTACGTGCAAATCCTTCATGTGCGTACTATCACATGCAGGAAACTTGTAATACCGAAAAAATCCGTTATGTGCAGATTTTGAGAAAAAAAATTCTGGTGCCTTAGTTTTTTGTTTATATGTAAAAAATTTACATTGGATATATGCAAAAATATAAAATTTAATTTTCGGCATTAAAATTTTTTTCATAGGAGTAGTAGAATAAAAATAAAACAGTATTTTTGCTCTCCTGAAAAGTTACCGTTTTTCACATAAAGGATTTGGCACCCCACATGACGATATTAGAAATTAAATTACGCGTAAGTGAAATCAAAAGTGAAGAAAACTTCAAACTATCATTACTCGGCCACAGAGATAATCTTCTTAAATGTGAAATTTGTGATGAAACAGTGTAAAATATTTTTTAAGTGACTGCCCACTTTTTGTAAATGAACGCAATATGTTCAATATTCCGAACAATATCAATAAACTTTTAGGTACCTACAGACTTTAATTATGGTACAGAATCTTAGCAGAGCTAAATGTGTATTTGTCTTCGTATATTAGTCATGATTGCTTATAACAAGAATAAAATAACTAAGTAGACAAATAGAGTTAATTCATATTATTTTAGTAGATTAGAGCTCATATCTTTTATATTTACATTTTTTATTAAAATCATGTTCCCTACATATTTTAAATTTACTTTGTTTTTCAAATTATTTACATCTACCACCCTAATTTTCTAATCTAAATTAGATTAGATCCAATATTGTTACCGGCTTGTTAGTTCACTGACCATAATTAAAATAATAAAAGGTCTTTCGTTCCCACATAATTTAACATAACTTAAAAGTACATAACGGTATGCATTAGTGTAGTCTCAGTGTCACCCCTAACTAGCTCTAATGTGATAATTGTCAATTCTCTTGGTTTAAAAAACAAATAGACATAGAAGTACAGGGGCGGACAGATCGAGATGCGTAGAATAGAGGTAGGATGAGAAAATTAAATCGCAGAAAGAAACAAATGATTTTAATGCGGTCGACAAAAATATAACGCATTGCCACGTCTTAAGTTTCACATACCAGAAGATGCTTTAATACATTAACAGTAATAAAATGCTTAGCCTGGAAAAAAGTATATCAGATTCAGATTCAAAGACGGTATCTGCGAGAGAAGTGTGATGTGGAAGTAAAGTGGAAAGTGTATGCCTGACATGCAGATACATACCACAGGGGTGTCTACGGGTATCTGATCCGTATCGGCGTGTAAAGACTTACAATACGCTTTCCAAACAACCATATCCTTATGTAAATCGGTCTGTTCATTGTTTTCATAATATTTTATAGATCAAGATTTCTGCTTAATCAAGATTTCTGCAATAGAGGAAGCGATCATAAATTGGTATTATCCAAAATCCGAATGAAAACACATATATATGATAGCAAAACACCCAAATAAACCAGAAAGATAAAAGTCTAAAGCTTACAAGATGACTTCACATGATACCTATTCCAAAAAAGAATAACCGAAAAAAGCAGAATCGCATATATCTATCACAGAAAGTGGTGGAGTCAAAGAAAGTTATGCAAAAATTAAGTCTAACATCTTAGCCTCGGCCAAGGAAGTTGTTGGTGAAAGAAATATCAACAAAAAAATAAATCGTTCCCAAGGCCATGGTTTTGTACAGAAGTAAAGGAAAAATGTAACGAAAAAAAAAAGCTTACCTGAAATACATGTGAACCAAAACACAAGAGGCATATCATAATTACACGACAATTAGAAACAAAACACATGCACTTCTAAGAAAAATAAAAAATGATCATGGAAAACGCTTGTCGAAAAAGGTTGTCGAAAATGGTTTTTACGGGGTGCAAAAGGAAATATGGTGCTACATAAGAGGTGAAAGAACGGAGGTAAAGGAATTAATAGAATCAAAACACATAGAAAAGGATACGTGGATTGACTACTGGAAAAAGCTCTATTCAGAGAAAGACCAAACAAGGATAGCGAAACTGAAACATAGAAATTACCAGAAATAAAAATAACTTAGGGGTGAGGGTTTTGGGTTTGGGGGGTGGGGTGGGGGGGGGGGGGGTATTTTTTTTGGGTTTTTTTGGGGTGTTTTGTGGGTTGTTTTTAGGTTGTGTTTGGTTATAATTGGGTTATGTAGGTTTTTAGTATGTTATTTTTATGATTTGTTTAAGTGTGTAAGTTGTTATGATGGGTTATTTTTTATGTGGGTGGGTGTTAGTGTTAGTTAAATTTTGATTTTGAGTGTTTGAGGTTAGTGTTTTTATTTTTGTTAATGTGGAGTGTGAATTTGAGAGTGAGAATAGGAGTGATTGGGTAGGTATAGATTGGAATTTGTTAAGTGTTTGGTTTTGTTTGATTTTGTGTTTGAGTATATAAGATGTTGGGATTGTTATTAGGGTTAGTGGATTTTTGTTTTTGGGAGTGTAGGGTAGATTGATTGTATGTGTTTAGATAGATTGTTATGATGATAATATGTGTTTAATTTGGGTTGTGTGTGGTTGAAGCAATTTTTGAAGAGCCAACTAACCCTTGGTGGATAGCAAATAGAGATAGTGGCAAAATATAAATATCTGGGAGTTTACATCAATACATAATTAGATCCAGACCAAAAGATCAGGGTACGAATACAAATGGCAAGGGTAGCGTGCTTAAAATTCAAGCAATTGTTCTTTGACAAAAATTTGAATACTGCGCTGAGACTGAGGTTTGTTAAATGTTACGTCTGATCTCAACTATTGTACGAGGTAGAAGCATGGACTCTAAAAGCGCAACTAGTTTAGAAGCGCAGCCTTTGAACTTTAGATATACCGGAAAACGTTGAGAATTCCATGGACTGCCAGGCTCACCAATAAGGCAGTGCTGAGAAGAATGGGTCGAGACAAAAAATTGTTGAGAACAATAAAAGTACGCAAGACTGCATACCTTGGACACATACTGAGGAATGACAAATATAATATTCTGCAGGTCATCATGCTGGGTAGAGTCGATGGCAAAAAGGGAATACATAGAAAGAGGAAGTCATGGCTGCGAAATATTCAAAACTGGACAAACATGACGGTAGACGAATTATTCCACGTAGCAAAAGACAGAGAAACTTTTATAAATGTGGTCGCCAACCTCCGTTAATGGGGACGGCATAGGAAGAAGACCTAATAAACTACTGAAATATTGTGGAGCAGCAATGACAGAAAAACTAACAACATTAATTAATAAAATTATAAATCACAATAAAATACCGGAAGAATAGAGAAAAAACGAACTAATTCTACTATTCAAAAAAATAAAGAGAAGACAGCCAGAAAACTACAGAGGTATAAACTTGTTAAATACTACCCTAAAAATTACAATTAAAACTTTACAAGTACTAATAAACCAGAAGATAACCAGAGGATACAGGTGCAATATTCCTTATAAATCAAATTACTGAGAAATCACTAGAGTATAATAGACCAACA